ATAGACTTAATTATTTCATTTATTATAAAATTATTTTTAAAATTATGATTTGATTTTTATCCAAATATTCTCTAACATCTTGCTAATATGACACTATTCTCATAGCGTAAATAGGGGTGGCTATTTCAAATGTTCCTCATGCCTGAGTGATACGCAGTTATCGCCGCCTCGTGACTGATCATAGCCCCATCAGAGCCTCCCCCCCTTTTTGTTTCCCCCCTTTGAATGGCATCAAAAGCTTTTCTGCTGGTTGAAATTTAGGGACGAAGAGCATTCGAATCTTCTTGCCGTGACGATGCAAGCCCCCGTGCTAAAAAACTTTCCTAATTCAATGACATCTCTCGTAAAAATGCTTATTCTTATCTGTCAAAGGTGCTGAAGTTATTTCTTTTATGAATCTTTTTATGATTTTGTTTAATTAAAAAGACAGGCATCATCCCCCTACGTACAGGAGAAAAGCAGTTCTAACCCGTGACAAGCAGGAATGAAGCTTATGATCATCACATTATAAGGTTATTAATTAGCATGAAATTTTTAATTATTGGCCCCTTTACTGGCTGGCTTCTAGATCCGTCCCTCCTTGAGTACTTGTGTATCTGTCCGATCATCATCACTTGCGGGTTTTGCAGGCTGTCTGGTTTTAAAAAAAGAAAAAAAAGAAGTATTTTTTTTTATTTTTTTACATATACCATAAAATTGTGCATAAAACCATGATTTGGTTTAAAATACCCTAATAAACAGTACTTTTGTTTTGACAGTGCGGTGTTATTGTGCCATTCCTCATTTCCTCGTTCCTCTTCCCCTCGCATCCCTCTCTATTTTTATTTTGTTCTGCCGCTTTTGCTAGACGCTTCTAAAGTTAGATTTGCTTATCAGCTCATGTTGCGGCAAAGGGATACAAAAATCTTTGATTCAGACAAATGGAAGGCGGACGAAGAGGAAGGAGGAAGCGTGGGCCATAGGCGTGGATTCGCAGTGCCATCAGTGGAAAACTGAAAATACGAACAACGTCGAGATCAAACAGTGCCATCATCGACAGGTTCTTCCTCTCTTCTCTCAGAGCTTCTATCCAATTCACACCGTCGAAGAGAGATGGAAGCCAGAGTCCTACCGCTTTCGGTCGCATGAAGAAAAACGCACACGAGTACAAAGTCTCGAGTCTATTCTGAATAGGCGTGGGATATATGGTAGTAAAATTCAGCGTCAGGGACACCATTTAATAAGGCTTTAGCTCCACCGACTCAACATGGAAAAGAATTATCCTCACTTTATGCATTTGTCCGTTTCTTTCTTCTCCGTCATCAAAACAGCTTTTTCTGTTCGTATTTTTTCAGCAATACAATTTCACCCGAGAGAAAAAGTTTGACATCTCCATAAGCAAATTGCACTGGCCTCTCCATTGCACTTTACGCTGTGTTTGGCTTGATAGAAAGACAGAAAAGAGAGGCATTTCAATGGAGGGAAGAGGAAGGCAGGGGAAGGAAGGAGAGAGGAAGGAAAGAGAGAAGAGGGAAAGAATATTAATAATCTTTTATTTAAATTGATTGGAGGGGAATGAAGGGGAGGCATTTTAATGATACCTTATTTGACATAAGAAGGGAAGGGACGGGAGCTATTCGAAAATTAACTATTTTATTCTTATAAAATTTAAATAATTTTTTTTATTTTATCAACACGTATGAAGCAGTTTATCAACTTTAAAAAAATATTAGGTTGTGCTTTTGCCACAACCACAACCTACTGAGAAAAACAAAACAGAAAAATTGAAATCAAATTTTTTGTCATAATGTTATTCGTTGATTCTGCTGGTTTCAAAAGAAAAATTATATTTTTAACATTTTTTATCTTTTATTTCTTTTTTTTAAATTTTTAACTAATTAAAATATTTTTATTATCTAACTTAAGTTAATATTACTATATATTGACTTTTTAAAAAATATTTTAATTCTTCATTGTTTCTTTTTTTTTGTCCCAATGATTTGTATAATTTTTTTTTTTTAAGCAAAACAGTTTGATTTTTCTAGTTGAATTGTTGAATATAAGAGGAGGATGGAGTTGAATTGATTAGAGCTATTGAAATTATAAGATTGAAAGAGAAGCGTAGAATGAAAGGGTCAAAGAGAGGATAAAAGAGAAATTATATTATTTTACTAATACTAGTTATAAAATTAAATATTTTCTCTCTTATCTCCCATCCAAAAAACCTTATTTTTAAAGGGAAGGCTAAGAAGAAGAAAGGAGGGAATGGAAGCCCTTCCCATCCTTAAAATTTCTTCAGCCAAATGAGGGGACGGGAGCGGCTCTCTTCCCTCTATTAAAAAATACTCCAACCAAATAAGGGGAGGGGACTGAAAATCCTGTACCACATAATGTTACTTTGCCACTCTGTATAAAAACCCATTTATCTAATCGTTCATATTAATTTTTTTAAATTCAAAATACTCTTCACTGATATTATCTTGGTCTTGGATGTATGAACTAAGTGAGAAGTTGGTTTTAATGTTAAAAATATAACATCTTAATCTATTTTATTTCACAAATAAATCACTGCTTGCGTCCAGCTTAGGCTAGAGACATGTAATGGATTGAGATGTTTGGGTTGGTATAACAATCATGATTGTGTTGTCCGGTAATGTGGGTTAAAATGGCCAGGCCCATAGACCATCCCGAGCCATCTTGCCAGTGAAACATCAATCAATCACTGTTATTTTGGACCCTGGGGAGAAATCACTTTTGTTCTTTTACCTTCACTAGTCTTGAGTCTTCCTCCTCAATCCATCCTCCATTCCAGGGTTCGCGTCGCTTTCAGGTCTATTATTTTTCCAGATCAACATCGTATTCTCACCGGACTAATTCACCATTACGCAGGTATCTTGCCTCATCAAAACTCCAGAAAAGCCACTTAAATTTTATATGTTAGTCTAAAAAGAAAAGGACAGAAACATTAGTTTAATTTTCTACATGCTTTAGCACCGGCGGGGCCACGGATGAGCAGTTACGCTTAGACGCGCTTGTGTCCCATCAATGGCAACAAAAAGCAAAGGCTTAGATATCAGAGAGCATATGTTGGGCTTTATCGAGGATAAAGCGAGATGACGCGTTCAAAATTTTCTTGTTCTCTGCCCTGTTTATTAGGATTTGATACTGAAAGGACTGAAGAAGCATATAGAGGATGAGAAGCTACGAGGGTAATAAGGGCACGACACAAGCGAGAAAGAGAAAGAAACAGGGGAAGAAAAAGGTGAAAGCAACATGTTAAGGGGTCAAAAAATGCGGGTTGGCCTGGCCCCATGTACTGGTACTATTTATTTGGAAACAGAGTTGGCGGTTGAGCCTAGGGCATTCATTTCTGCAAGTCTTGTAGGTAGAGCGTGTGAGTGAAAGTTAAGTCGCGGAAAAGAAAAGTGAAAAAGCAAAAAAATGAAAAAAAAAAAAAAAAAAGGAGAATGGGTGGAAAAAGCATCTAAATTCACGAATGGAAGTGGAAATTGGAACAGTTGGCGGGTTTCCCGAGGAGAAGAACTGTTCAATGAAATTGAGTGCTTACTGTGGTCCCGTGAGTTTTCCGTCTCTATGCCATTTAGTGGCATATTCCCCAACCCATCTTAACGTTGTTGTCCGTTTTCCCAGCCTAACAGGATTCACTCAAAAAGACTTTGCAAACCATCTCAAATCACCATGCCGCAACATTTTTTCTATTTTAAGGATTTTTTTTCACTTTTTTTCTATTATTTGCATTACACAGTTAAATTGATACTACCTTCGATTTTTAATATAAAAGTTAATTAATTAATTTTGATATATTAGGAACATTTGTTAAGTTAATTATTTATTATAAATAGGTGTTATTCTTCTTTAATTTTTTTTGGGCTAATCATGTACTACCTCCGATTCTAATTATAAGATCTCGTTTATAAACTATAATTAAGATCTTGTAATTAGCACAGGAAGTAATATATTAGCTATAACTACTTTAACATGCTAATCACAACACGTCAAATTAAACGATTAGGCATGCTTCATTTCAACGTCAACTTCCCGTGCGCTTGCAGGCGCTTTACTTTAGCTTCAGTTTCCGCGTTCCTTTCACCTTGAGGAGAGCATCTTTCTTTCTTTCTTCTTGTTTTTTTTTTTGTTTTGTTTTTTAAGCCAATTGTTTCCTAGTTTTCTTCCTGTATCAGACAAATGATGCATCCCGCGACAAACAACAAACCGCAATAGTACTACAGTGTAAGAGTTTGAAACAAACAAGGGAACGAATCTCCAACAAACACTGGGTTTCGTAGGGGGCTTTATAGTCAGCTCTGTATCTGGGTTTAGCCCACCACCGGGTGGAATTGCTTTTGGGCTACCCATATTCAGCCTGGATTATTTGGGCTTCTAAATATGGGCAGTATAGGCAAAAGGAAAAGCCCAGTCTTACCAAAAAGTCAAAAGCGTCAAATTAAAATATTTTGCAATTCATGATGGATTGTTCAATTCCCACGCGAGTGACCGCCATTTCTTGTGACCGGATTCCGCATTAAATGTTCGCACATCCCAACCTAAAGTCAAGTCATAACGCACCAATTATCTTAAATTTCTTCCCCAGTCTTCCTCTCCACACTTCATTTTTCCTCTTTCGTCTCCCACCACTAACAGGTATTTCTCTGATTCTCTCTGTTTGTTGCTTCGAAGAAACATGTCTATGGGCGTTGGATGTTAGCCAACCCCTTTTTTTTCCCTTAAAAAAAATAAAATCGTCCACTCACTGTTCCCGGCTGTCACATCACACGCGTTTCCATCCGGCTGTCGTCACTTCACTAGCCCTAAAATATGACCAAGCTGGAATCTTCAAAACGTTTGTCTCCTGTTTTTTTCTTGATTTTGTCCTTTGGTTTGTTTTCCAGTCTTCCTTTCGTGATTCCCCTCTGCGGAGAGTTATTATTCAGTAAACACCTTATCTATTGTATGTTTTGTATTTTTCTTGATTTTGTATACTCCGCGATAGTTTTGTGTTGTTGTAACTCGTTCACTTTGCCCCTTTATTCCCCCGAAATCTGCCTATGCTGCTCTGTTTTCTTAATTACTATTATTTCATCTCGGTTCTTCCCAAGTTCTGAAATGGCCTGTCTACTTAATCTGCAGGTAGGAAATGGCGGGAAAAGGCGGGAAGGGTCTTCTTGCTGCGAAAACCACGGCCGCTAACAAGGACAAAGATAAGGATAAGAAAAAGCCGGTTTCCCGTTCATCCCGTGCCGGAATCCAGGTGACCCACATCTCTCCCACCGTTTCATTCTATTTGGACGTCTATGTTATAATAAATCGCTGACGTCGAGTAACACCTTGCTTTAATTGTTGCTAATGGCTAACAGTGTTCAAATGATTGGTTGTGTTTTGTCCACGGACCCAGATCTAGTTATACTTATCCTCTGTCATTCAAAAAAACAAGAAAGTTATGCTTATCCTCTTTCCTACCTTTTCAACGTGTCCCACTCTCAGTTGTTGCTCTTCCTCTGTGGAGGAACGCGACCATGCCTAGAGTTTATCAATAATTAAGAAATCTTGGTTTGATGCTGCCCAACGCAAGTAAGATTTAGGGAAATAATCCTTGATGTGTTCGAGCGCAGTATAGTTTTCTAGCAAGATTACTTCCTGGAAGCATTGTTATCGTAGAGATAGTTACATTTTTAATGTAAGTTTTAAATGCCAAAATTCAGACTCAGCACGCTTAGATGTCAAATCAGGGCAAGGCAATGGTTGTAGGCATGTAGATTACCATCTTAGATTGTAACATTCGACACCAAAAGAATATTGAGGCAGCGTTAAATCAGAGTATCAAATTGGGACTGTCATGATTGACTAGAATGCTTTCATGTCTGTTTGCTCGAGTTGACGAAATTGGCATGGGTGGGTTTCAGTTTCCAGTGGGTCGTATTCATAGGCAGCTGAAACAAAGGATCCAAGCGAATGGTCGTGTTGGTGCCACCGCTGCAGTTTATTTGGCGTCAATTCTGGAATATCTGACAGCAGAAGTTCTTGAGCTTGCTGGAAATGCGAGCAAAGATCTCAAGGTGAAGAGGATCACGCCCAGGCACTTGCAATTGGCTATAAGAGGAGACGAAGAGCTAGACACTCTGATTAAAGGGACCATTGCTGGCGGTGGAGTTATCCCTCATATCCACAAATCCTTGATCAACAAAACTTCCAAAGAATGAGCACCTTGCTTCTCATTTCACTGTTAGGTAGTAGTGGTTGCTGTGTAGGGAAACTTGACTGGTTTGATTAGAACTGAATGTTAGAATGTATATGGTCGGTGTTTTTGGATTTGTTTAGTTTAACTGTATGGAGTCTGTAGGAGATTTGGAGCGCTCTTGAATCATGAATTCTTCCTTTTACTTGAACGTAAGATAGTGGTGGCCATTTATTAAGGACGTAGCCTGTCCGTAGTTCATTTAACCTTCGCAAATCTCAATGCGTTAGCTTCTTTCTTAGAATTCAAGCAACGCAAGGAGGAGGGCGTCCTTCAAGAAATTGCTGAAATGTTTCCCGAGGTTCTGCAACGGCCTTGTCTAAATTAACAGTTTCTTCAGCTCCTGAATGATTCATTATTGTTTGGTTTGATATTACTCGCATTCTAGGAGTTGAGTCCTCGTCATCCACGATGGCCCGAGAATGTCTGCTACTCTGCGCCTTTATATAGTACTCCTCCGGTCCTTATTATAAGATCCTATTGACTTTTTATTTGGTCCTAATTATAAGACCCCAATCCATTTTGTCTCTTATATTTATGCATTTTTTCCAAAATAATCCTTCTAATAATGATAGTTTTAGTCAATATACTTAATTAGCAAGGATATTTTAGGAATGACAACACTTATTTATTATAAATAACCAACTTAACTTACTTCCTTAATCTCCTCAAATAAGTCAATTGGGTCTTATAATTAGGATCGGAGGAGTACTATCTCTGTTTTTAAATATAAGATTTTGTTTGACTTTTATTTTGGTTTTAATTATAAGATTTCAATTCACTTGTTTTTTATATTTATATATTTTTTCTTAAAGTAGTTTTTTAAATAATAATAGTTATAGTCAATATATTTGATTAGTAAGGATATTTTAAGAAAGACTGTTTATTTATAACAAATAACTAATTTAATTTATTTTTTTGATCTATTCAAATGAATGAACTAGTTCTTATATTTAGGATTGGAGATAGTATATAAAATAAATATGTTAAGGAATTTGTCTTGATTTATAAGAAAAAGTGTTTTTAAAAAGTATTTCTGGACACATCCGAAGACCCAAAATCAGAGAGAAAGAACAGTGAGATTTGTGTTGATAATGAAGCTTTGCACTGTTTATTTACCCGAACAGTTTGACTAAATGAACAACCAATCTTGATGACTCAATAATTAAATTCAACTATCATACACGTAAGCTAAACTAACCTAAATGAGATAATTGCGCACTTTCTCTAAGTAATAACATTGAATTCCTCGAAAACCGAGCGAGTGAACCAAAAAAATTGTAGCAAAAAGAAAAGTTAAAAAAAAAAAGAGGCAAGGGAATGATTTTCTTATGTTAGGCCTCTCCGGAAAGGATCGCTTTTGTCTTATAATGGTAAGGCCCAAAGTAGAGATTTTTTCCCCACTACATTTTTTGGGGTTTCCAGATAGGTCCAAATTACAAAGTCCTTTTCGAAGCGCTTCGAATATTGATTCGGCCCAGTACTGTCTTTGATGCCCAGCCGAAAAGCTGTTTTTGTATCATACCCGTCTCTGACTTCTTCCATTTCAATTCCAGCACGGCGTCTTTTCAAATTCCTTATTTAGTTGAATCGAAGTTAAATTGTTTTTTCATTTTTATGAAAGCTCGTGGCAAAATTGTAACAAAAAGGTCGGACAGGGCATTCAATATATACTGAATCAAGCATGAACGGGGGTAAGGAATAGGGCTTGGCGAAGAAGCTTTCGCCATTAATGAACAAAAGAAGGAGACAAGAGTGAAGATGGAAGCCAGCGAGGACAAGGATTGGACAGATTTAAATGAGTATTTAGATGAAAAGAAGCCAACTCATAGGGATTGAGAGAGTAAGAGAGAGAGAGCAGAGAGCAGAGAGCAGAGGCATGTGCTTCTGCAACTCCACCCATCCACGTCTGGAAACACACATGCTTTGCTAGGTTTGTGCCCTTTCCGGATGACAGACGACCCCTCTCCCTCTTGTTTAGGAGCTTAGCTTCTTGTGCTTTTTTAATGCAGATTGTTTGGCTGGGGATTAATAATGTGCAATCACAACCCTACGGACCCACTCGAGAGGAAAAATCACTTGGTTGTTTCTGGGAATTGTGGGGGTCCTGTCCCTGAACAGACCCTACCACCAACGTAGCCCCTGGCTGGGCACATGAATGATATTAGAATGATTCCAGAACAGTACGTAATCCCATAATTGAGGAAAGAAAGAAAAGAAGTGAACAGAGAGGAAGAATTATATTATCGGGTATCCGTCAAGTGTTAGCTTCTCATACCACATTGAGATCCCGTTTGAGGTTTCATGAAGCCCATCCACCTGCTGGTGTCATTATCCAGTCGCTGGTACCAATCATGCAAATTTTTGGACCCCTTCGCATTTTGCACGCCGTTCAACTGCTTGCTTCAATTTGTTTGTTCTAATAAAAGGGGATATTATTAGTTGGGAGGTGAAAGAGATATGTACATATGTTATTTGCGCAGAGAGAGAGAGAGAGAGAGGATAGGAAGATAACGAACTGATCTGCGCATGAAAAGCAAAGGAGCATGTGGAGAGGGCAGTGAAGGTCAATTCAAAGCGTGCTTGGAGGATGATACATTACACGCTATTTGTGGAGCAGGAGTACCTGTTATAAGCATGACATGTTGACAGGGAGAGTAGGGTCTGGGGAGACACAAAGGACCCAGATTCATTATAAATCCTTATCCATGCCTCTCTTGCTATTAGTATTACTGTTTCCCAATCCATACCCTTAACTAACTACTCATTTCTTGTTCTGTGCCCACTGCCCGCCTCGCTTCAAACCGATCTTCTTATGATTAATCCCATGGCACTTGCATTTTATTTAGTGTAGAATGGTTTTTTGTTATATTCATTTCATGGGTTTGGATGGGTGAGGCGAGAAGAGCTATTTATTGAATGACAAAGGAAGAAGAATGACGCATCCTTTAAACGAAACGAAATCCATCTGTCGCTTCAAGTGAAGTGAGCCTCTCACGCATCAAAAACGGCTGCATCCCGTTCCCTTTATAATTGCTCAAGTGCCTTTGCTGTTCCCTTTTTCTCACACTTTTGTGGGACCCTCCTATCTCTCTCAAACCAAACATTTCACAAATCACGCAACATTAATAATTTACATTGTTCTCAGCTGTACTTTTCAGAGGTAATCTTTCAGATAAAAAGTCTGCTCTTTAAATATTACCCCCCAACTGAATTACTAAATGATGGTTAACGCTGGTAGAGCGTCAATTGAGCACCGAAAATCGTCCAACTAATTTGCCTTTTTAGATGATGCTGTTTAAATGTTTTGGGAGAAAATGCAATCTGCCACGTGTGATCATGAACTATTTCACTGCGGACTCCTGTCGATGATTGAGATAAAACAACATATAAAACAGTGAAATTGAACTTTCTTGCCAGTCATCCAATGAATTAATTGGCCAATAAGAAAGGGCATTATACTGGATTCCAGTTTCGGGACCATTTTAAAACGGTGAAAATATAATTACGTAAACAGACATTGATAGATCTAATCTCAACATATTCCGACTAACAAGTTTCGGGATTTTTTTGCAACCTTTTCATGCAAGGTTGAATGAAAAACACAATAAAAAAAAAAGGCGATGGAAGCGTTTCCGCATTATTCGTTTGGAAAGGAACATTCGGCGAGATACCGGGGGGCGGGGGTCACAACTCACAGCTTTGGCCAATTACCAGCCACTCCCCATAGAATTATAGTAAATGCCATCTTTATTTATACCCAAATAAAATAGTCATCCTTCGGTCTGCCTAGATTTCAGCTTCCAAATTCCTAATTCCTTCACTAAAAAAGGGAATAAAAAATGATTAGGCGGAGGAAAAGCGAGCAACGCAACCAAAATCGACCCCTTTTCTTGTTCTTCATCTTTTTCTTTTTTTGGTGTCTTTTCTTTCTTTTCTTTTTTTAAATATTTTTCCGGGGGATTTTAGCTTTTCTTCATTCCCTCGCATTCCTAATCCGATTTCAAAACACCAATTTCCTACGAAGGGCGGAGAGCCTGTTAGATGATTGGGCGAGATCTCGTATGGTTTCGCCGATGAGATCCTTGAACACGAGACGTTCGATGTCTAGAACCACCTCGCCCATCTCCACTGGGCATTCTCCCCATCCATTCATGCCGTCCTCCGCCAGATCCTTCCTTAGCACGCCGCATATTACGTCGAACAAGTCCTCTGATTCCTCCTTCTCTCTTCGGATCCGCCGGAACTCTGACCATATTCTCTGCAACAACGGTGTCTGCCCAATCCACGAAATTGCCTTCCACGGCGGAAGTTGTTTATTCCGCTTCAGGATTTCGTGTATGGTGTCGAAGATGAGTCTTCTTTGGAGGGTGGAAGCTTTGGAGGTGTCATTCCCCTTGAGATACTGCTGCTTTTCCAGTAATAGGAAAATGTCGCTGTCTTCGGGCAAGTAATTGGAAGCTCGCAGGATTTCCGACACATAAACGAAGTCGTAATCCTCGGATGTCTCCTCCGATTTGGCTCCTCCCATGAAACCCATGGCTGCACTCCACATGTCGTCCTCTGACTCGGCGGGTTGTTCTGTAATGAACAGAGAAATAGCATTAACAACACCGACAACGCCTAAACGAAAATACTCCGATGCTTGACATAGAATTGGAGTGGCCAAATATGCTCACATTCAGCTAGTATATTACTGTCAAGTGTCAATCGCCCATGTTTTATATTGTACAGGAACAGTTATTACTACACATGATACACTAGTTCTTTTATTCCTTATTAAGAGTTGCTTTTTGCCTTCTTGCGTTGCGTATGTAAGTGAATTAGAATTACAGTGGCCGGACGCATGTGAAGTGGTAGCTTCCAATTAATTTGCTCATTGACTCCTGAGTCCTGAGTGGGGATATGACGGACCACACCCCGCACATTTTGACGTAGTCAATTAACCAACCAGAATCACCCACGTCGGAAAAGGAAAGTAGACCGTAGGTGTAGCTCTGTCCTTGGAAAGGGAAAGAGGAAGCATATAAACTAGCTGGCTACGGGGGTAGCAGACGTCACCATAGAGTTCAAGACAAATGCAAAATCTAGAAAATTAACGCTTTTATTTTAAATACACAAGACGCTGAACCACAAGCAATTATGAATGTCGCTCACCTCTGTAATCAATGCACCGCTTCATGACTGGAGATGGTGATGAACACTCGTCCTTGTCAAAAGACGAGTCCAGCACTGAGACTGGGCTCGGCTGCAACTCGCTCGCAGTTATTTCGGCTATGCTGTGCAGCAGCTTATCACACCTCTCCAATAGATTTCTCCCTTCCTTGTACTCCTCCAACTTGCATCTCTGCACAAACATAATTTACCCATCTAAATTCAGTTTGACTCAGCATTTTTACCACAAAATGACAATGCTCAATTCATGAATAAATTGTCGCTAACTTTACCTCTGTATCTGTCTGCGAAGACGTGCTAATGCTGCTCTCCGAGATGGTGGATGATTCATCCTCTGCTATACTCAACTCCTTATCCTTCTCGTAAGTCTCAGCCACCGGTTTTCTCATTCTCGGCGATCTATTCGTCACTTGCTGATGGGGTACATTCCTTCTTGAACCTAATTTTGGGGAATGAACCGGAGAGATTCTTCTCTGACCAACAGAGTCATTCCCTTTCCTCTGTTCCTCCGTGTTCGTTAGCCTGTTCCGGCTTGGGCTCTTCACACTGCTCTCGCTGCGAGTGGGCAAGCTCAAGTTTCTGACTCTGGATTGATTTCGTGCATTCCGATTCAACTCAGGCCTTTCACGCCTAGGGCTCACCGTGGGAAGAGTCTCGTTGGCATGATTCAGGTTACCCCGAGCTCGAGGACTTGATCGAAAGCTCGAGGGTGGAGAGTCGCTACCAAACCTTCCAGCTCGATTCCATGAAGTTGGAGATCTTGCTGGCTTCATCACGACAATCGGGGATTCGTTCGCTGAGATGCTCCCGTCGAACACGAAGTTCCTCTGGTTAGCTTGAGACAATGATTTCCTGGAATGCAGCAGACCTTTCAGCTGCAGAGCCTCGAGGATATGCTTGAGAGTCTCGAGATCCTTAGATGGCTCATCGATTCCTCTCATCTTCAACCTCTTCTCAATCTCCCCGTAGATTGATACAGTATGCTTTGGCTCGGGGAAAAAGTCAGCGGAATCAAAGAAACTCTTCTTTTGTCCTATTCCCCTGGGAGGAGCTTTTGCAGGCTCTGTCTTGCCATTTCGTACAGCAAATTCTTTTGGATCTGCCCGTCTGATATTGTATACACGACGATTGTCGATGGCTGCTGCATGGTCCCTGGATACATTGCTGGAAATGTTAACCTGAGAATTTGACTGCTGCTGTAACTGCTTTCGCTGAATATTGTTACTGTCAAAGTAACGATGCTGGAGCAGATCTCTGCTGACTCTGGACTCAGAAGCGGATCTTCGGAGCTCAGCATTCTTCACCGGCTCAGGATCCGAATCAGGTAAAGATTCCAGGCCCATGAGCCTGGCTATCACGCTGGTCGATCGACGCTGTTTCTCACTATCACTGTCCGCAGCTTCAGCCAGGTTCTCACATCGATTGGCCGATAACATTGTAGAACTCGTTCGGATCTCCCTGGGATGTAGCGTGCCTTTGGCGTCCACCACTGCTCTACTGTCCAAAGATAGCCTGGGAGCTTCTCTGGCGAACTTCCACGAAGACCTCGTGCCTTCCTTGAATTCAAAAACGGGAAGAGGAAGAGGCACGTTGGTTTGAGATTGGGGGGCCGGAGACTGGGGCTCCCTGGAGGGACTCTGTTTCACACGGTCGGGCGATGGTGTTGATCTCGGTGGCTGCGCCTCTACTTCCCTGCATTTAGCCGGGGAGGCAGCAAAGCTAAGCGGTTCCGGAGGCGAATTCGCCGCCTGCAAGGGACGGGACGATACAATAAGGGCAGATGCGAAGCAGTTAGAGAACACGCGGAAGTAGAAAGAAGCGAGAAACTAAAAAGAAGAAAGAAGAAGGAATAGTTACATGGGAGGGGGGAAGTCGCTTGGTGGAGTAGATGCGCCTGCCGGTGAGTATCTGGTGGCGATCGAAGATGTGAAGGAAGCCAGCCATGCAGCCCATTTGCTTCTCAAACTGCTTCTCGAGGTTCTGGTCATGGCCGAAGCCCGTCGTCATGTTGGCGGATATCGGGTTGGTAGTGTTGAGAGAAGCGTGAAAACGTCACAGGGAAGCCTCCATGTTCACATTCCGCTTTGTAGCAGGGGGGGGTTACTCTGAGACTCCCGCTTTTGTGGGTCTTTAAAAGGGGAGGGTGGAAGCAATTAATTAAAGGAGGTGAGGAAGGAGTGCGGGGAGAGAAGAAGCGTGAGGGGAGAAAAGACCATAATGGCCTCGAGAATATGGAAAATGACGAACGTGTGCTTGTGGCGTGGGGAGTGAGCATTTATTAATAATTGGGGATGAAATGTAGAAACGCAGAGAAAAGCGCGCGCCCACTGAGTTGATAGAGAGGAGCACTTTTTTTCGAAAGGGGAGAGGTTGCCGCAGGGGCGCTCTTTTTCTTTTTTTTGGTTGTAATGGTTTGGGGATGGGGAGATGCGGCAAGAGAGAATAAGAGCACCGCGGGGCGTGGCCTCTCTACGAGTCGTGTCCCCGTAATGAGCGTCCAACCCCTCGAATTGTGAGCCTTTGAACGAACGCATCTCATGTGCAGTCACTTCAGAAACAACACATCCTGGCCCTCCATCCGCTTATCCCCCATGACATTGCTGACATGTACCATTCAAAACATGCTATCCCAGCACCCACGAGGCAGCTGAAATCATTTTGGCCCCTCCCTCCCCGTAACGGAATGCCATGCCTCCCGTACTCGCAGGCTGCTACGTCCTCTATGTTTTTTTTCTTAATTTTTAAAATAAAAACAATAAGTGGTATCAAGCTCATATCCTCCTGCTTAAAGTAACAATCATATCATCATCATATGCTACAAACTCATTGGCATGTGTTCCTCTTTTCACTTTGAACAGATAGAAAAGCGGTGGAAGGCGTTGGACGTGAGGGACGGGAAAGGACAAGATGAACCGCTTATGGAGGCTTGTAATATTGGAACTCCTGCTGCTCCTTCATTCATTCATTCATTTCTTTCCCTATTTTTAAATTTCTCCCCAAAACAAACATATTTCACTCTCTCTCCTCCGTAAATCATCCTCAAGGGCGCCAAAATAAAATTCAAAGGCTTTGCCGCTTGCTCGCTAGTTACATCCATCCACTCCTATGTGGGATGCAGTATTATTTTGTCACTCTTGCGCGAGATCGGTGGGTTGGGCGAGTCAGAGTCCCCGTCTCATCTATGCGCACCACATACTTTTCCCACCTTGACGTTAAATCTAAACTACATATATATACACACTATTTCCTATTCCTAACATAAGAACTAATTTGGTTTTCAATTTAGTCTTAAATATAAGATTTCAATATGTTTTATTTCTCATGTTTATCTATAAGATAGTTATTATAGTTGTTGTACGTATTAAAGGTTTTATCAAATGATACGTGGTTAGCAAAGATATTTTTAAAAAAAAAACACATTTATTTATTACAAATAACTAATTTAATTAATTTTTTTTAATCTGCTTAAACTAGTCAATTAATTCTTGTGTTAAGAACCACAAGTAGTACTAATCTCCTCTGTTTGTACCTCGGTTGTTTTTTTTTAAAGAGCATCATGTTGCCACAAAGCAAGTCCATGAATGTCCCTTAATGTGCATGCACATCACACATATAGTTAAATTGCAAACATACGTGCTCATTTTACACAGCTTCATCATATCCTAAATATGGTCTTTTTGATATAAGAGTTATATGACTACTTTGAAGATATTAAAAAATTAATTAAATTGATAATTTGTCATAAGTATACTCTAAATTATCATTTTTAATCATGTATTATCTTCGGTCCTTAATATAAAAATTAATTTACTAATTTCAGTAAATTAAAAAAAAAGTTAAGTTAGTTATTTGTAATAAATATGTGTTGTATTTTCTAAAATATCCTTATTAATCAAGTGTATTGGCTAGAATTACTATTATTATAAAATTGCCTTAAAAAAAAGATAAATATGAGAGACAAAATAAATTTAAATATTATATTCATGATCAAAATAAAAGTCAAACATGTTCTTGTATTAAGCATAAGAGGTAGTATATTGGATGACTGTAATTATCTTTTAGTGGAAATTTTTTTACAATTAATAGAGATATTTTGAAAAAATAAAATAAAAAACAAAGTCGGTTGATATATTATATTTAAAATCAAATCCATTCCTCAATTAACTTCTGTATCAAGGGAATAAAGTAGTATTATATTCTATCCATACCAACAGGAAAATTGAAAAAGATAAAAAAAAAAGAAAAAAAGAAGAGGGCTACCCTCTCTATGTTCTCCGGCTTCTTTTAGCATTTCCTCCGTTCATTCAGGCCATTTTTATTCTTAAGATCAGAAGAATCTTCCTTCTGAGAGAGTTAGTAGGGCCCGTCAATCAATGACTGTCATATACTAGTATACTACCATCTCCTCTTTTTCCCCGTCTATCTCTCTCCCTCACACACTAAATTTATCCGTTACGCTTGATCGGACTCAATTATGTTAGTCAGATATATACATGTACGCACACTGCCTCAATCCAGAAAAAGGACGTTCTCATCCACTTCGTCAATCATCTAACCCTACTTCTCTCACTTATACCTTGCTTCTCTTTCAATTTTCTCCCACCCCTCTCACGTGATCCATCATATGCATCCTCACCCACAACACAGTCATCGAAATTTTAAAAATCCAATTTTTATGATTACCGCAACGCACGTTAATTAATTGCTGTTAAGATATTGAGTTTGTGTTCCTTAAACAGCAAGCATATATATGGGAATGGCAGTAACTCTGTCAATTATCAACCAACTCCGTATCTCTGCAGCAAAGAAAATTTCCAGATGAACACATAAATGTTTCGATCTGCTAAATTAATCCCTCGTTTGGTTAGCATATCTGAGCGCCCTGTATAAACCAAAATGAATAAAAAGATGAAATTAAAGTCAGGACTCGAGGGCTCCCCGAATGGCAATAACGACAAGAGAAAATCCCGCGACTTGAGTCTTCACCATATGAATGGCTTATTCAACGTTATGTGCAATCAAATTCAATCAACCACTGTGCATGTATAAAAGGAAAAGCATAACCCTTTTGCATCTTGTGACCAACTGTTTAGTTTAGTATAATATAACACGAAACTGAGATATTGAAATAAAAGAAAAGAGAGTTGCGGGGGTCGAGCTGCAAATTCCATGTGGATTGTCTTCCATACAGCTCTTCTTCTCTGATGGCTCCACGTGATCCTACTCCCTCCCACTATCGTTCAAAGCCCTTCACTGTTTCTGGTGTTATTATTAACTATGATTGTTGTGAAATAAAAGCTAGCAGCACCACTTCCTTTTTCACCTTTTCTCTCAAATCACATGCGTCTCAGATCTGCGAACTCACTTTTAACTATATTTCATCATAACTGAAATCTAAACACGCCCTCCCAAATTACTGTTTTGACAAACTGTCATTTATTAGATTCATGGGGGCAGCATCACAAAAAGTATTTATATAATATATACATGTACGATTATGTATGAGAGGTCCCCATCATCCTCAATTTCCCATGTAGAACCTTGGTTATACGAATTCGGTAAGAGAGCTCAGATCCCAAACGCTGAGACACTCAATCTCATCTTCAATTGTCTCTCACCCACTTCATATATTCCCCTAATCTCCCAACCATCTGCTTTCACTCAAAATCCTCTCCATTCCCAACTTTACATAAAAAAAGATAACTTCGACATTAAATGACTTGCAAGAGATCACGCCAACTTGTGGGTTATGCCTCAAATCTCCAAGTTCAGTGTTTTCACGAAGATGTTGCTAATCCATTACAGGAAAGAGGAAATAATGCAGATAATAAGTGCATATGATAATTTATTTCAAGGCAAGTGTGCATATCCAAAAAGATACCCATATGGCGGGTGTGCAGAGTCTTTTCTGGGTATATTAATATTAATTGCAGAAATGTGGTGATTGGCAGAATTGGATTTGGCAATTCTGAATGACTCAGTCATGAAGGGGGTAATAGGATTCTGATTCCTCCACCTGTTCTGTGGTGCAGTAATCACTAGTTGGGCTTGGACCACTTTCTTGAAGACTATGCTATATTCCTATCCCCCATTCACATGCACTTTTATTTGTTTCTTTTACATATAAATAATTAAATATACACCCCTTCCTAAACAATTGTTGAATTCCTTGTGTTTATTTATCTTGGCATCTTTTTAATGCCACTCCCGTCGCTATTTCATTTTGCACTGTGGCTTGATATATTAAATTGGCTAGCTATATTGCCAAAGCAAGGCTGTTAGTTCTTTCAAATCAGGAATGAATTATTACAATCCTGCTTAAGTCTCTAGTTACTTAATGTTGCAGACAACCGGCAACAAGGAATCATTCATCATGCATACACAGTTTTCGTAATTAAACTGTTCTTTGAAGATTCAACGATATATTGAAGCTTATCTTTTCGGTAGCTATATTAGAGTCAAAGTCAAAGAAGAGAATGTGTGCCACATGACAAGGATGATTATATGCAGAAGAGAATGAATCAAGCCATGTTCTTGTAGATATGAAGTAAAATTGAATATAGAACTGTTAGAGCTTTTCATGTGAATGTGCGCTTGGCATCTTTTGTCCTATTCTGGGGAAGGTTAATCCCTTCTTTTTAGTCCCTGCAATTTTAATTTGCCACCACATTGTTGATCCCTCACAGATGGTTTTATAAGATGTATCTATAGCGTAATCATCATGCATGCACAATCTAAATCCTAAAAGAGAGGCCGATTTGGGATTATCCAGAGAAATAAAGGTAGCATCCTATCAATCACATGCGTTTGCATCTCTTTTGCTTCTCATTGTCATGAAAGAGATAAACAAAAGAACAAAAAGATGATGATAACTGATAAGAGAAAAAAAGAAGAAAAGATGAGTCTATGCACATGACATGCGGGTGAGTTGACAATAAATCAGTATGTTTTTCGCTTTAGATCCTTCTTGTTCCTATATCAGCTCTTACAGCTAGACTACCATAAATAAGCAACTTAATTGAGGCCATTATCATATTCAATTAACAGCACTCTCCCCCTATTAAATCCACATTTATTGCAGGTTTACAATTTTAGCTTAATCCATAATTTCAATTTCTTAAGTGCTGTTGCCCAAAACACACCTCGTGGAGCCACTGATATTTGATGAAGTAATCTTTCCCAAACTACTCAAGATTACATAAAAACACGTTCGAAACTACTAATGGGCCCTTTAATTTAAATACGAATAGAAGGTCAATGTTAAACTATCTGGGGTAGGGGCGTGTATATATATGTATATATGCTTTGGCCTAATATTATAATCAAAGTATAAACTTTATTAATCCTCATTGGCAACCCATACATGGCCTATATAGATAACTAATTAAATAAGGTGGAAGAAGTGGAAGAATCGGCTTGATGGGTCTAGCAGCATAGACCAAAGCATAGGCATACGAATCATTCCAGTAGAACCAGAGAAGAAAGACACTGAAGGTGACTGCTAAGCGGATGATTGTGTGCCAATATGCCATTACATTGCAGGGTCAGCGTTAGGGTTAGGGTTAGGTTTAACCCAAAGTAGAGATGGAACAATATTAATTAAGTCTAATTAATTAGCGTAAACATATCTTCGGCGGGTGGTATTTTCCTTCAACGGAAGGCAATTAATTAGCCAATTGCAATAAACTACTAACCTATTCTAGTGATGCTAGCTGTAGCTGGAGCTTGTTATACTCGTTCGGCTCCTTCTTCAATGCAATTGGAGGATTAAAGAACATGATAGAACCCTAAATTTGGATTATGTTATTATGCCACGGAGGTAAGGGGAGGACAAAGTTAAGTGAAAGTAAGGGGAAAGTAATAGAAAATTATGCATATGGGTGGGTGATTGGAGAGAGGGACGTTTCAATTTTATAATTTACTTGAGACGCGTACCCATGGTGGCCAAAAGGCAAAAGCAAAGGCCTTTCTCTTCGATAATAGCCAGTCTCACATGCTTTCTTCGCACTCATCTGTGCCTAGTTATTGGGGGACTTCATCGGAGGCTGCGAACAACATGGCTTCATACTTCGTACCCAGACACAGACTAACTACTATAATCATGTGTTGGCGTTTCCCATGAATTTTATGGGATTATTGTATTCACTCATAAGCCTAATTTCTTAACTTCGATGACGCTGACGACGATGATGCAACGGTCTTTGTTTTCTTTCAGTCAACTTGTGGTAAAATGAGATATTCTGGTTTTGTTTTCTCTATTTAATTTGCTTTTTGCTGAAAATGAAGGGGAACGGAGACCGTTTTCCGCGCTGTTATGTTCAAACTCTGACTGGTGTTCTTTGTCCCGATGGGCATGCCCTACAATTAATTATTGCCGAGCAGGTTGGTCTTCTACTTCTGAAATATCATCGATCTTCCATTTCGAGATAGAGGCTAACAGCTGATAAAGACACAAGAAAATCCGCTACCCTTTTATCAGAGCCCGCTTCGTTTCCCGCGTCTAAAGGGTTGCTTAAAATTTAAGCTGTTCCGGTTTTATTTATTTATATTCATTTTTAGAGTCTAAATATTTCATAAACACCATCAGGTGCCCAAATTTTTAACTTCCTGTGAAGAAAATTTAGATGACTAAAAACAACAGGAATAGGCATGAACTCCGATCTAATGCTAACTAAGGGCCTGCGATATTTACAACCTGCAAGATTTATTACCCTCTTCTTCCCTCAGTTTCATTTTCCTTTTCTAATATATTTTTTTTCACACCAGGTCATTCAAATTTAACAATGACTTGGCCTGATTCGCTCATAACTTTTCCTAATTCCACCACTTTAAGGTTGAAGGGTGCAAAATATGCCATCCCCATGTCGAGTCTTGTGTGCACACACCACTGGCGTGCATTCTCAGTTGGTTAGATGATAAGCACAAAAAGTGATCCTTCTAATCATTTGAATTCAGTTAATGAATGTGATTTACAAAACCAGTATTGGAAGCAGCATCTCCTGTAATAAATTAAGGATCCATTATTTTTTATTTTTTTTTGTCACACCAGTTTTTTAATGGATCCATGCAGCACCAAGTAACAGAGTCTATGTTACGCAGTCATATGAGGCATTCTTTTTGCCAGGCTAGTCAAATGAAGGACTGCTTCCTGTCAAAGTATCCAACATCTACATGATTGGGGATCCTGAGGCCCTTCAAACCATCTATCCCACAGCATGTTCACAGGTCCACGAATTCTGTTCAAAAAAGAGAAAAAGGAAAAGAAATAAATGATGACAATGCAGGTGGCGAGATAGAATAAGAAGTGATGATGATGCAGGCTTGAGAAGTTACTCTGGGAGGAGTGGATCAGACCTACTTTCCATGTTCTGCAGTAACCTGCACCATGTCCAGAGGAACCATATAATGATATAAGCCTTGCAATAATATTGCATCCTAAATTATTGACATACCAAATGAACCGTTTTTGAGAGAAGCATCCATCCCACAAGTTGGAAAGGCTTATCAACCAAGAAACTCAGATTTACAACTTAGTGGGCAAAGCCAACAGCAACTTCTTCAAGTTAGACAGTTAATCGTACCAAGAAATATTCCCATATGTTAGATAACAGTCTTTGTACTTACTCCTTGCATATAGTTGACACATTTTCGGTTTTTCCAAGCACTTCCAGTTCTTCCTGGATGGAATACAAGAAAAAACACAACAAATTAGGATTGTCCAATGCAGTCTATGATGCATAATGAAAAGAGGCCTTTTTGCAGAAGATAAATGGAAGCATATACTAAAAGAAAACAATCAACTCAGTACATTAAATTAAGCAACTGGAAAAGTTCCGCAAAGCAGGATGACCCCTAGTTATTATTAGGTTTTGATAAAGGTAAACCATTATTAACAAAAATGAGAAGTTAGTCGAATTTATGGAACTTAAAAACTGAAAATTACACACAATTTTGCTTGGAAGTCAAATGGCAGACACTAGACAGATCGTCTTTTATCCTCTTATCCATTTACATTTCAAATGGGAACCAACAAGGAAATACATGAAATATCTCATCACAAAAAAGATTATATACATATTTTTCAAGAATTTTTTTGCTGTCAATTTCTGTATACGCGAATTATGCACCAAATCTGGTTCTTCTACACCTCAAAAAGCGGTGCCGCAGTTGGTGTATTTTGAAAATAGCATTTTAAGTCTTCAAATCATCAAAGTACGTCATGCCAGGCAGGAAAAACAACCGCATATAAAATATTTGAAACTATTAAACCGTGATGCTTGTTTGATGTGGTGTTCAGGCACGATATTTCTTATAAAATTTTTAGTCATCATCATAGAGGATCCAGTCGTGAATCAGCAAACCGTACCCTTTCTGACAAAATGCAGGATTATGAGTATATAATATGGTAAAAATATTAAGAACGGCAATTTTACATTTAAATCACCATAGACAGGCATCAAATATTGAGAGTTCTCCACAGTGAATTATCAAGAACGTGAAATCTGAAAGAAACAGCTAGAATGAGAATTCCTTGGCATTTGAAAATGTATCTTCTGAAATAAATACGACTCCTAAGAGCCCTGTCATGCTGATGACACTGGTAATTTAAAATTTCTAAACAAGCTAGCAGGGATTTGCGTGACTAACAAATTAGATGCCATAGTCACAGGGACTTACGGATGGTACCCACAAGATGCTGAGGAGTAATCAATTGACATTTAAAATCTCTTTTAGTCGACTGTTGGATTCAACATTCGACTTGTTCGACCATGGTATGAACATTCATATGTTTAGCACATTAATTGCGCACCATAAGGAGGTCCGTGTTCAGATATGTCTCCTTTCTAGTCCTGGGGATGTAAGGTGTGCTTTAGTAAATCTCAACCTAATACGACAAACCGAAAACCTAACCAGATTTTTTTTTTTTTGGGACAGGAAAACCTAACCAGATTGCACAGCGAACTATAGCCTGAAACTTCATAATTACACGCCGATAACCAATAAATTCCGTTCAACAATTTATCTTCATCCAAATCCCAGAAAATTTAACACCCTTTTGTATCCCATATATAATGACAGCATAATCTAAGTTGAGAATTCCTATAATTACATCTTTATTTAAGAAGCAAATTCTAGAAGCTCTTGCACACAACTTTGTCCCTTTCCCTTCCAAGAACCTATTAGTCTAAGACTTATCCACCTCAACGCCCACTCAGTGAACTGGAAATACTTGGGCTTCAAGCATAAGTATCACCAAAACTGTCAAGCTCTTAACTCGGCAACAAAAGGAATCTCTTTGGTCGAAACTCGTACTACTCGGGAAAAGTGAGTTCCGACAGACCCAAGAACGGTCAAGCTTCAGTATGGCGTTTAGAGACACAGCATGTGTAGCGAAACAGATTTCATTACACAAACAGATTGATAAATACAGACATGTAAAAATATAAAAATAAATTAAAGCTGGGGAATGAAGAGTAACTGAGAAAGAAAGATCACCTCAAGATATTGGGTATCTTGCTCAAGACGCTTCACTTCCGCAAGAATCCGATGCTTGCCTCTTTTGTCAGGCCCTGCTACTGCAGCCGGCGTAGCTACTGAAGCAACGGCTTCTCCATCGGCAGACGACGACGCCGTTTCAGACGCCATCAGTGGGACTGCAATAAATGACCCCAAGTAGGCTCATCCAGCAACATCTCCCTCTTTTTTCACTAATAGATCTGAATTTAAACAGAGACACTCGACATTGAATCCATACTCCTACAAGATGAAAGCGCGCTCGAATGTTCTTCCGCTCTCACACACACAGCTGGAAAAGAAGGGAAAGCAAAAGCAAAATACAGCGTATTTACTACAAACCTTACTTTCTGTTCTTCGAAAGCCGGTTTTCTTTGTATGAAAATGCGAGCCTTTAATATTTTTATATGATTTTTTTGGATAATTGGAATTACGTTCTTTCCTTTAAAAAATTTAAAAATAATCTCGGCAATCATTTTTATAACCAACCCCACGTTTACCATACATCATTTATGATGTTAAATTAGATCGTCCTATTTATAATTGATAAATAATATGGCTATTAATATTGCATGTGAGATTATGAGAAGCGACTTTAAACAGAATTATGTTTTCAGGGCAAAAAATATTAAAGTATTTATTTGTCTAAACTGAAATTCTGCAAATGTTAACAATTGATAAACAAATCCAACAAAAGGTTTTTCAGGTGGCGGCGGCGTAAAGACGCCGTTTGCCTTGAGATTGGGTGGCTCGGCCTGATTGAGAGGACCGAGGACGAGTAATTTTACAGAACTGAAAATCAGATTTTTGTTTGTAAATTGTAATTATAAAATAATTGCTTATAATATATTTTAAGAATAAAAAAAACTATTTTAAAGGGAATGGATGTATTCATACAAAAGCATAGTTTTTGTCATTTTTAAGTAAATAATTATGTAATTATGAAAATATTAATTTATTGGCTCATGACATGGAACAGTTTGTGTGAGGTAGCTTTCATGATGGACCTGGTCCAATAGCAGCATCATTTGAGGTGGCCCATCCAATATTTCCTTTAGCCCGTATTGCAAGCATAGCGAGACTTTTCGTGGGACTTTCAAATTTGGCTTCGGCACTTTTGCTATCACGCAGATTAGGTTATTACGGGTAAAGTATGGCTGAACATTCTTCCATTTCAGCGTTCTTTGTATGCGTCACAACGAAGGTCTGGATATCGTTTTCACAATCAAATTCCTTCCCAAACTCCTCGGGCTGCGTTTATTCTAGAAGTCGAGGGGATGCCACAGATGGTGCATCCAGATACCCAAACACGCGTCTTATTATTTTCATTGAGATTTTGTACATACTGTTCATGATATCATGCTTTGGACAAGAGATGTTATCTCTTTTAGTTATTTTTTTCATTTAGCCTGGCTTTCTGGGATGACTTCAAACATGCTGCTGGTGAACAAGCACACTAGTACAGAACCAAGAGCTCAAAACCAATGGATTCCAAATCTATAAATTTTTAGGATTCAAGCAACGGATCCAAATATTGCCGATAGTCGCTAAAATGAGCTGCTTCCTTTTTGCAAACAAATTTCGTGTGGATGCGACCCCATCAATTATTTCACTAATTATTGACTTGTTTGTGCGTTACCAGTGGACACAGTTCAAATATTGCTGTGTATAGAAATCTTCTCAGAGAGCTAAGAAAGCAATAGTGTTGTCGTTTTGGGTCAATCCCGCCCAATCATTTAGATACAGTGTCCCAAAAACGGCTCTCGTGTGTGTTATGCTTTGCGTGCTGACTATCAGAATCACAGAAAAAGAAGTCAACCTTGTAGAATGAAGCTGGTGCCGTAGGCTTTTGCACTTATTTGACCACTTCTGTGACGCATGTAATGGCGACACATTGTTTGAACGTTAATTTCTTTAGTGCTGAACTCGGATTAACTTGTTCGACCAAATATATATATATAAACACGATACCCTATATTTGCAGCCATCATTTGTTAGAACAGTCAAGATGTTTGACACTTCCGAAGTTCAGAACGTGAGATGAGAGAAACTTCCCGCTCTTTGTCAGCCCCCATGTCATCAGTTTATATGCGGGCACTTATTCGCTTCATACCATAAACAAAAGCCAATTGTGGGTTGCGTGGGCGCATAGCGTGCAAAATCAATGTTATATTACCCTTCGATGTTTAATACAAAAGCTAGTTTGACTTTTAATTTGATTATAAATAAGATCTTAACCTATCTTGTCTCTTATATTCATTCATGTTTCTCAAAGTAGTGCTTATAATAGTTGCATACCTCCGATTCTTGATATAAGACCTTGTTTGATTTTTATTTTGATCTTAAATATAAGACTCTAATCTATTCTATCTCTCATATTTATCTATTTTTCCCTAAGGTAGTATTTTTAATAATTGTAGTTCTAGCTAATACACTTGATTAGCAAAGATATTTTAAGAAAGATAACATATATTTATTATAATTAACTAAATTTATTTTCTTTATCTCCTCAAATTAGTTAACTAGTTCTTATATTTATAACTGGAGGTAGTGTATGTTTAATATTTCATCAAATAGTAATTCTAACTAATATACATGATCAATAAGAGTATTGTAAGAAAGACAACACTTATTTATTATAAATAACTAAATCAACAAACTTTTTTAATCTACTCAAATTAAATTAGTTAACTATTATCGAACGTAATACGTAATTTTTTTCATATAACCCCCCAGGCGTTTCTTGATCTGACGAGTAAAATAACAAAATATGAACAAGCATTGAATGGAACGTCTGTTTTGACAACTCCAGCAACATAAATTTAAGTCAATCTTGGGTGATACGCCATCTTTCTATGAAACTAAACTGGTCAGAGCTTAATACTGACATCTTAAAAACATTCAACACGCTTAGCCTCGTCACCTAATTCAGGTTGTAATTACATATTCATACCAGCGTTTCTGTGTTTAAACATTTGTTAATTAATCTGGGAATATCAGAGTAGACAAGCATCAGGGAGTGTGTATGCGTAATTTCTTGGGGTTGAAGGGGAAGCCCATGATCACTTCCGTGGCACGTGGTGGGTGGGGAAGCCGAAAGTCACAATTCTATTGACTTTTGAGAATAAATGGTGGGGCAGGTCCGGACAGTCGAATTGAAATTTTCCTTGTCCAATAGTAGATTGCCGATGCTCTTGTAATTCCGGAAAAGTTTCTGCTTTTTGAATTGGAGTTTCTTCCTCCTGCGTGCCTTGACTATTGGAATTACAAGTTTTGCCCAACTCGTGCGCCTATAAGAAAGCCAACGAAGCAAGCTCCTCAAAACTATACACCAAATTCCTTCTTCTTCTTTCTATCCGAGCAAGAAGCCAATTGAGAAGCAACTTATCAGTTTCCTTGTTTCCTCCCGGCCAGAGTAGATGATGACGGATTCACTCACAGAGGATCAGGTCGCTGATTTCCGGGAAGCCTTTAGCCTCATTGACAGGGACTCTGATGGTGTGTTCCTTTACCCCTTTTCTTCTCACATTTTCAAAGAACATAACTTGTTTTGCTGATATGAATTGGCCGGTGATGTCTAGGATTTATTACAGTGGATGAAATGGCTTCCATTGTGCAGTCACTAGACGGAAATCCTACAAAAGAAGAAATTCGAGAAATGATAACTGAAGTGGATATTGATGGTAATGGGAGTATAGATTTTGAGGAGTTCTTGACTATAATGGGCAGGAAAATGAAGGTAAGATCCAAATTAAAACTAGTTACTGCTTTGTATCCAGAGAATTTTGAAGCTTTGAGACGTTGAGGCTGACGAGATTACCTTAAGTTCCAACAGGAAAATCTGACAGAGGAACTAAAAGAAGCGTTTAAGGTATTTGACAGAGATGAGGACGGATACATTTCTGCCTCCGAGGTAAGCATGGCATGCAACGTTTGCCTGTTTAATAATGTCCAAGAATATCACTGAGGACTAAGTTTAGGGTGTTTGATAGCTGAGGCACGTGATGACGAACATGGGAGAGAGGCTCACGGATGAAGAGGCAGAGCAGATGATTAAAGAGGCGGATTTGGATGGGGATGGTCTGGTTAGCTATGAAGAATTTGCAAGGATGATGATGGCCAACTGATCTCAATCACCGTGCATAGCAAGAGTAAACTTGTGTTGGCTGAAAATTAGCCCCACCAACCTATTCTGTAAATCCTTCCTTTCATTGTATCATACCATAATTAAGGGGGTGTTAGGATGAAACCAAACTATGGTTTGGAAAATAGTTTCTGGATAATAGATTCTGGAGAGAATAAATTCTGTGAAGAATAGATTTTGTAAAAAAATGATTCTGAAAAGTGAGAGTGTTTGGATAGTTGTTATCAGAAGCACTTTTTATATATACAAATCACTAAAAAAGACATAAATTAATATGATAATTACATAAAAGATAGATTTTATGATATACTTTAATTTGAAGGAATAAAATTGTTAATAATATATTTTTTACCAGCATAATTAATAATACATAAGATAATATAATTAATAAATAATTAATATGTGTATATATATTTATAAGATATAAGATTAATATGTTTATAAAAAATTAATTAAGGGATGTTAAAGTCATATTATTGTTGAGATATACTCTGACAGACACAATCATACTCTCCAATTTGAGTCAGAAGTAGAATGGATTCACTTCTCCGAAAACCATGGTTTTGGGTTCCAAAACCATGGTTTCAGATTATGGCATCAAAATTGATACTGTTTGGATGACATTCCACCCAAACCATGGTTTTGGGAGTCACCCAAATAAACCCTAAATGTTCTTAAATTGGTAATATTTTTCCCAATCCAAAAACCTTGCTCAGTTGATTTAAGAGCCGACAAGACACAGATTCATCACCATGTTGTGCATTTTATTGATTAAATTAACCGACTTTCTCACCATTCAAATTATGCGGAGCAAGAACAATTTTCACTTTTTTGCAAGATATGAAAATTTTCAGCATAGCCAGACATATATTTTCAACATCAATTATTTATTTCATTCCCATCTTCAATTTTTGTTGTGAAAGAACTTTATTCCCCTTCAATTCTAAAACTCTTCCGCGGATTCTAAAAATGTTCATTAAAAAATATTATTAAACAAAATTATTTATTTGAAAATAAAGAGTTTGAATTTCAAGTTTCAATTACTTATTTAAGTTTCCTAACAAATTCTAATACAATTTTAAAATTGAAAAGCCTATATCTTGAATAGCGTATATATTTTTCCTGCGGTTGTGATAAATATGCTTATTAATTAAAAGATAAACCTTTATTATTATCTTGTAAATATATTTATAATAAAGATAAAGATATATTTATTATCTTGTAATATTTTTTCAAAAAAAATTATCATAAACCAATTTTACGTTTTAACATCGCTTCGCGCGTTTCCACATCACCAGAACCAGAAGATGATTCGCGGGTTCTAGTATATCAGAGAACGCGGAGGGTGGCTGGGCGGCGGCAACCGTCGCACGACCGAGCACGAAGAGATTGGTATCATAGCGGAACTTTAAATTTCAAAGTTGCTTTTTGGGATAATCTCATTTGAGATTTATTTTTTAAAATTGACACATGATTTTATCCAAACCCTAAAAATCTCGAATGCTCGGAAATCGGAATGGATGCATCCGCAGCCAATGATCTCGACGACTACTCTCCGTCTTCAACTGTAATAAACTTCGACAGGCCGATCCCCTTGCTACGTGGACCGTTACCAGCCGGTCCATCTGACGATCCATCGGCCGGTTCGTTTGTACTTGCATTCAGAGACTCACATGCTTGGATTTCCTCATACAGAGCCTGCGAGCGCAAAATCATCCTACAATGTCAAGAGGGGGCCAGGATTGGGTGTGCCATCAGCGCTTCCAGCAAGTGTAAGCCTTCATGGTGGAAGGCCCTGATGGGTGCCAAACCTACCGATTTAAAAGAGCGAGAGCGATGCGAAGAGAGCGAAATGGAAAGCTGCTTTGCTGTTGCGAAGGAGAAATGTATTGGGTTTGCCAGGGACAAGTGTTTATCTCCCTTTATGGATGCACGGATTGCAGTTAGGGAAAGAGGGTTGAATTTGAAGGAAGCTTTGAAATCGATTCACTTGGCATCATTTCCCGAAGAGAGTTTGCGGATGATGGGTCAAATGGGCTCCGCACGCTTGTCTCATGGTACGAAATTAGGGGTGACAAATTACAAGGCAAGTGAACTGCTTGGCTCGGACGAGAATGTGCAGTGCATCCTGGGCGAGCAGCAACAGGGGACCAAATAACTGTGGCTTATTTTGATCGTGGAAGCGCAACCCGCAGTAGCTTATGCTGATCGGCGTATTACTTCCAACGCCTCTACTTACTAACTTGGCTAGAGTCCATTGTTCTGCTTGTGGAACACAGTAGTCATAGACTTATTTACTGATACTAAGAGAAGCCAAGAATTTTTCAATCGTCTTTGAACAGGGACATTGTGCAGATGCATTTTTCTTTGGTTATCATTTCGACGTAGACATTGGCTTGTACTTACAATTTCGCCTTTCCTGACCCCTTTTTTTCCCGTATGAATTGTAATTGATACAAAACTTTCAACTTTGTTTGATTGATGCCTGAAAGTATTTCGCCCTCAGCATTCCTGATTTGCCTTGAAAAGTGAACATTTGCTTGCTGCCTTTTTTTTTTTTTTGGGGGCATAACAGTGGCAAGCCGGAGCTTGAAATAAAGAAAGGAAAAGATCCTAAATCCACTCAAAAGGTTAAGGCTAAGAATCCTCTTGCTGATCTCGCATAATCATCTCCAAATAGCCGGGGGGGGGGGGGGGGGGGAATCGACGGCACAAGCATTAGTTGGTGGTGATCGTGACCATTCCTTGCCATGTAGTCAGCACACCTAAGAATCTCTCTGCCAGTATGATATAATTGAACTTCCCAGTCGCCAAAGAGTAATTCCCTAGTTTCGGCTATCACATCCCTCAATGGATTATCAACGGGACCATCCCTCATCAATGCTGCCATTTTTCTAGTTGTTCTTCCTGAATTCATTTTGAGAAGCCCGTGGCCTTGTATTGACCTACAGCTTTTTTAGTTGGCGCAGGTGTCAGAGGAATAACGTAGGAAGCTGATGAATCAGGTAAATTGGTACTTCTTCACTGCAAGATCTTGAACTATTTTCTGACAACTTATTTTATTAACAAGATTAGAGAAGTCTTCATTCATGGTGGCATCATTAGTTGGAATAGTAGGTACGCATTCCGCCTTGTTGCAACTTGCAAACCTTGATAAGGTTCAGTATATGGTATTCATCTGTGAGGAAGCTATTTTCTACATTGCAGATTGTAATTTCCTTCTAAAGGCTTCCTTTTTGCCTTCTTTAACCCTTCATGTCTCTAATTTGAATGGGCATATTTAGTCTCTGATATAAGGTATTTACATAGACGAGATTAAATTTGCTTGGCGGAGTTCATTGTCTGAGTTTTGATGGCTTTGATTGTTAGATCAGCAGATAATCCGTCTCTGTGCGCCTCACGACTTGTTTTGTTGAAGACTTGAGCCTATCCTTAGATTTTTGGAGGTGCTGGCTTCTGTATTTTTTAGGCTGTGGTGTTGTGTCTTGTTTTCGGTGGAGCGCGTTGCCTTTTTTTCCTGAAGGCTTTTGGTGACTTAACTAAGGAATTGGATTGGGATGGTTCTTTTTTGGACACTTCAGCAGAGCTCAAATGAGGCAGAGATGGGCTTGGGCTAGAAATGCCATCCACTTAGTGGGCTACTACAGGTCGAAGTTATGCTCTTTCACCAGTTTGGTACAGGAGCGGAAGAGAAATAAAATGAAAGGAACAAAATTGTTAAAATTGAGATTAATTCAATAGTACATGATAAGGGGGTAAAAATAACCGCTAACTAATCAGATTCCTAGTGAAATATAAGTTACCCCAATTGCCCTGTTGCAAATCCTAATCCTCAAATCGAAATTACTTTCTTACGTGATAAAATGGCGAGTACATTATATATAGACTTCCCCTAAGTTTAGTTAAAATTATACAGACCTTTATTTTCAGAATAATGTTTTCCTGCGTTCTCGCACTCTTATTTTCTTCACTAAGTACGTCGGTATGATATTGCTTTGAGAAGAGCGAGAACCAAAAGGCAAAATATAGTTAGGTTTAACCTTTGTATTTTGTACAGTACATCTAATAGTTCTGAATTACGAAATTACTGGGTGATTTAATTGGTAAACATTATTAAAAGGGTTTAAGAATGAAAGGACGTAAACATTATTCCGGTCCGAACATTATTCAGTTGCTGTGGCTATGTATTGCAAGGTGCGAACTTGCATTACAATACGGACTCAAAAGTTCTCTTTACAAACGAAAAGAATCGGTCCCTTTCCTCTGTCCTATTTGCCGAACGATCATTCTTTTTTCAAAAGAAAACAAAGGAAATTATTTTGATTTCATTTTTGTTTTTAAACAAACCGTTAAATGTGCAGTAATTGATCCCTTTGCGAATGTTGTCAAACATTGTCACCGCTAATCAGAGTTTAGAGTCAGTAATCGCAAGGCATAGAAGTTTATGATATGCAATGCTTTTGTAGAAGCAGTTGGAGGACGGATGTGGCAGAACAGAACATGTCAGATTGAATTTGCTTGGAATTACCAATTCGTTTGCAAGTACATGGTTGAGCACACCTAAGAAACCAGCGGATAAAGCAGGGCCTTCCTGGGCGTCTGCGCATTTTCATGTGTTTCCGAACAGGAAGGCAAACCATAGGCTTCGGCTTCACCGTTGGCTCTGTTTCAGACATGCATTTCCGGCAGTAAACCAAACAGCAGGGACTCAAAAACCAAAGCAAACGAAGTAAGAAAGCAGAGCCCCTTGAGTCTTGACGACTGCCGCTGCTAAAAATAAAGGCATTTATTTGCAAGTAGATTCTCTTTGATTGAATTGAATGGCAAGGGAAGAGAAGAGGGGAAGTGCCAACTGGATAATTAAATGGGGTTGTCCATATACTACAGGCCTAGGAACCTATAACCCCAGGAGGCTGAATCAGAGTCCGCAGAACTTAGCTGTCACAAAAATCACCATCCTCTCTCACAACGCATGCTCGTATCACCCCAAAAAGAATCCTCCCGGCATAATGACCCCTTGATCACTTTCATATTCTCGATCCCCTTGTGATTCTTCACAAAAAGCATCAAACCAGAAACACCCACCGAAACAACTCGTCCTGCTGTCTTTTATTTATTTTACTCACAATAGAGCCGTGGATGGGATGGGACTTGGGCCTCGGTTGACCATAAATAAAAAGAGGGATTCAGGAGGAGGACTGGGTTCAGTGATGGTACAATTTCATTTTTCAAACAACAGGAAAAGGACGTGGTACGTGTAGTGTGTGAGGTCTGGTTGGCTGCGACTTCCCTCTTTCTCGATGGCTGGAAAATTACATTGAAGTCACCCGCAACATGAATTGACAAGTGAGTGGGTGAGCAAGTCCACAGCCCAACACCTCCCCTACTCATCCAAATTTTGCATGGAAATTCTCACCAACTCCCATTTCTTTCTTTTCTTGGGACCCCAATAATTGTAGACTATGTGCATCCACAGTAGTACACTTCTGTTGTTTGCACAGCCTTCACCTTGGCAGTTATTTTAATTAATTGTTATTCTTCCATCCATGTGACTAACATCTTTCACGCATCTTCTTGCAAGTTCCATAAGGTGATTTCATGTCTTGGTTTTTACATGGATTTTTATTTTTTTAAATCACGATTAATATTAATTATGTACTAATAATGAGGGGTTCATAGATGTGAAATGATGAGAGACTGGGATTGGAGCCGCATATGGACTCGAGAGAGAGAGAGAGGATGAAGGGATCCGCCTTCATCACTGCCACTGCCATGCCGCCCTATGACTCTATCTTCTCTGAGCCTAAGACAACTCCTCACAGTCATCATCACCCCTCTCTCTCTCTCTCTTTTTAGCTTTTTTAGCTCTTCTTTTATTTCCCTCTTCCTTCACTTCACTGTCCTCTGCGTCTTTTTTCATTCATTATTTTACTGGTTCACTAGGTGGCTTCTGTCTTTTAATAACCTAACCCTCCCTTTATCGATGGTCTCGCTCTCTCCCACTCTATATATATATTCTCTACCTTCACTTCTTTTTCTGCCCCGCCTCGCTCGACTGTCTAGCACGAGTCCTGTTGAAGCATGCCAGTGGCTGTTGCGAGTATTGCCTATATAGTTCTTTTCACCTACTGTGGGAAGAAAGGATGAGATGTCTAGCGTCGTATGGTCGCTAATGAAGGAGGGAAGTTCACAAAGGAAAAAGTGAAGCTGCCAGCATGATCTAGCTTTGGTTAGTGAGAAAGATGGAGAATGCTAATCCTGACTAGGTCATGCTGTGACAGCCTCACTCTTTCCTGTTTGGGGACCCGGTTCCTTCCTTTCATTCACAAGCACTTGAACTTTAAAGTAAGAGGCAAGTTTAATAAACCACTGTTCGCATAGTCGTATATTCCTTTTCCATCTGAGTTCCAAATTCTATTATGGCAGGCGTGCGATACTTGCCCTTTTCACTTTAACATGTCTGGTTCGTTTTTGCTTCTTTTATTTTCGCCCCATGGTTTTTCACGGGCTTCTGTCGACCTAGATGTGTGGGTTCAAAGGACGTAGATCCACGCTTACCTTTTTCATATGTATGCCTAGGGTTACATGAACCGCTGAATATCTCCATAACTGTGAAAGTGCATTAGGTTATTATGGTATGCTAATTAGATAAGTAGTAGTTCCCTTTCTGGTTTCTTATCCGTCAAATCGCTTTAAGAATAACTCTGGCCATATTTCTCTTCTTGATCCACCATATGCACCGAGTTTCGAGGTTGAAAATCCCGCATCTTCTGAAAGAGCTGTTGAAATCAGCCTAGAATGGCTGCACGACTCAGATATTTGGTTTTGGTGATTTTCATATCTAGGTATTCTCAACCAGTTGTCTTCGCTTTGCAAAGTATGTTTATACTCTCGGGAGATGGGTGTCAAATTTACCGTCCAACGTTATACTGTGCTTTGTTTACCTGTTTTTTTGGCAGATTACACAATCACTTAATATTCCTGAGGTGATTCTGATCGATGTTGAACCAGTCTTCGCGCAGCAACGGGGACAATTGGGTCATGCCGGGTTTATCGCTTTTGAACTCTATAGCAAGTACTCGCCGGCTGAAACCTACCGAAAGTGAACTTTGCACGTTACTGTAATTTCGGCCACTAAATGAGTTGGTCGATGTTGGTGGGCAACAAAGGATGGACAAAAAACTGGGATGTATCAGGAAATATTCAAGGCTGTGTTTTGAATTCCCTTGTATGCAGATGTTTTGTATCGGAAATTTAGGCTGTGTTCTGTATAAATCATTGTGTCAAATGTAAATTCACTTTCGCCGTTCTGCAGTAATCCTTCTGATCGCAGTTTACATCACAAATATGCGGCAAGGCAGCTCTTTCGTTTTCATAATAATATTTGAATGTTCGTTAGAGCTGTGATAAAACGTTATGAAAGTTTATTTCGCAAGCCTTAAGTAAATGGAACTGGCAAAAATGTCGGATGCTGCCTTGGGCTCGGGTGGAACGATAGGTAGGGCATTCTCTCTAGATGTTGTTCTTTTCTAAAATTAATATCGGATCCTTAAACATTAAGTTGTAAGAACTAAATAATTTAAAACTCTGAACTGCACGAGAGAGAATAAAACCCGTAGAAATTTGGTTAGGGTGTCCGGGTAGATCGGGTTATAGCTCATATACAATGGGTCGTCGTACTCAAGACTAAAGCAAGGGGAAATTATGAAGGAAACATCAAATCAGGAAAAACAAATCTTAAAATATGCCTGCTTTTACAAAACAACTGTTGGAGCATGGGTAGGGTAGAGACATAAGCAAGGGAGGGAAGACATGATGGTGATAATGAGGATTGATGTGACGTGTATTGGGAATGTTGGACTAATTTGGGCCTTACAAGAAATGAGTTCTGTTGAGGTTGTCATTTTTCAGTGGTAAAGTTAAAACTGGGTAACATGAGCTCGTGAAGCTTATGGTCCGGCCTATGTTAAAGTCATGAGTTTGCTGCTTTCATCATCGCTTTTTATTATTTAATTAATGCTTTTTCACCCAAAAGCTTGCTGGAAACCTGCTACATCCAAGCATTTGTTTTCACCACCGCATGTAATAATGAATCAAAATCATTCGGATCCAAATTTTGGAACATGGAATGCCTTTCGGTTTGTTCACGCAATGTCACAAAAGGATTTATCTTTTTTTTGCTCATTACTGCTTTGATTGTTTTTTTTTTTAAACATTCATTTGGCGGACAAACTTTTTAGGGTGACTTTGCTTTTTTTCTTTTTTAATTTGCCGACCCCATGATCACAACGTGTTTTCGTTTTTTTTTTTTAATCTTTTAACCTTTTTTCTTGTTTTAGTCAAATTTAAATTCATTGATTCGATTCTTGATCACAGTACTGGAGGATATATATTTCTACCTGCAAAAAAATTTTCCAAAATTTTTTTTCAAGTTTCATGTCATCTTATTAAGTACATTACTATCATTCCGGCTGTATAAAAAAATTAATTACGTTACTATCATTTTCGTATTTTACTATCGCAGCTCGGGAAAAGATGTAACTGTGATTTCACTCTTTCTATTTCATTTTCACGTCGATGCTATATTTTTTTGGTTCTAAGTGTAAAATTTATTTTTATAAAGTAAATTATATTATAAAATAGATCTTTATTCTATACTATATCAGACAAAACAATGAACTTTCAATGCATACACGTGTTTAATTCGTATGGCCAATAAAGAGAGAAAGAAACGAGGATTGGTTAACAGTTAATTGGATGTGATCAGACCCGAAAGGAGTATGTTAATCAATTGGTTTATTTTGCCTGTCACAAATGGACACAAAAACAAACCCGGAGTGCTTAGATGAAATGTTGAGAGAATTGTTTTAGTTTAATTGCTGGTTTGAGTTCAAGATAGGAAAACACAACAGCACAAAGGGCCAGAGTCACCCCCCCCGGGGAAAGGTGTCTATGTTACTCTAATTTGAATTAGTCTGAGCCTGTTAAGTTTCCATTACATAAGAGTTGACCTGAAATATACTAATACAGGGTATATATGCCAAAAAAAAAAAGACACAAAAACAAGAATATTATATATACGTTGTGATACTGCTGTAAAGAGTGACTCAGCGTGCGTGTATTGGTGCCTTTCTATCTACCCGAGACCTACTAAAGAGGATAAGAGATGCGAACAGGTCGAAAATAAATCAGATGTCAAAATCACAACAACTTTTATCAGAGTATAAGTTGCCTCTATGCTCTTTCTTTCCTTTTCTATTTGTATTTTTGGGCCTCTTTTTCCTGTTTCCTGCATCCCTCCCCCTCCATGCTTCAATATTGTGAAGACACCCAAGGGTGTCTTTTGATGCGCGGCTGACACCAGTAAGAAGGTTAGATTAGATCAAGCCTCTGACAAGAAGCAGCATCTTTGGATTAATTTAAAGTTAATGAGACTAAAGCCATATCCTCTCTCTATCTTTAAAAGAACAAAAGATAATGTAGGTTATGAGGAATATGAGGGATGACGGGTGGGTGAGATGAGAAAGAGAGTCACATGACTTTCTTTTGATGTTGCATTTGGAGGAAGCCATGCACTTATGGTCCCCCACAAGCCTTGTGTTTTGTGACTTTTTTTCTTTGGTGGTCATTTGGTGGAAACATGCTCATTAATTATCCTAACATATTCAAATCCCGTCCACTTTAATTTGGACCACTGCCACCTGTTGTCTTCTGCTATTCTTCTCACTTATTTTATTATATCTTGGGTCTCGGTCATGCTAGCCTGGAGTGTTCTCTCTCTGGACTCTATAAATATATATAACCCCTCGATCCCTTCTATCTCTAATGCACACTCAAAAGAACATATCTCCCTCCCTCCCTCTCCATCTCTGCCTCGAGTTTGAATGAATTCTGTGGTTATCGTCAACCAGTAACAGTTGAAGCTGCCAGCATGATCTAAACTTTCCTGCGAGTCAAGGAAGGATCGGATCATATGGCAGCTTCACCTGTTGATGGGATCACGAACAACATATATATACATATCCTTACTCCTTCATATTCTACGGTCAACTCTGCACATGTATATTATTCATCATTGCCCTCAATTCAGTTCGTACCTGGGTTTGTGAATAGTGATTCATTTTCTGCTGGTATCTGCCTTTCAATATTACATTGTGGGTAATTCTCATTTTCTGCCTTACTCATATATATATCCACGTATTTTATGTGAACGAGCTAGCTTGCTTATGTGTCTTTTCCAAGAAAGAAATGATATGGATGGTTTGGGAACTGGGTTTGGCTTTTTATTTCAAAATACATGTTTTTGGCTTGGAAAGTGGTACTAGTTTTCGCCGTGTTCATTGCATCTGTACTTTGTTATGTTGGCGTCAAAAGTGCAGTTCACTTTAGCTGAGGCATGGTTGTCAGGAATATAATATTTGGTTTTAATTAATTCGATGATAATAATTATATATAATGGAGGGTTGCTTTTTTGTGAGCTTGCTGATGATGCTGAGGAATATTCTTGAAAGCGGGGAGAGAGATACGATTGTTGAGAGATTTTCCATGTACGGTTGCTGCTTTTGAGAATATATTTACATCTCTTCCCAATTCTTTTGTTCCCGAACTCTCTCCATTACAGCAGCAATTTTGTCTAATTCGCACTGGGAGCGGCTTCTCTCCACTGCCTTCCTGTTCGCTGCCTGTCCGCTGCCTTCAACGCAGCGCCGTTTAGCTGGGTGAAATAGGGGTGATGAGATGTGATGGTCTGACACTCGCATAAATGGGAGAAGCGGAGAGCCCCAAAGCTATCAAATATATTACGCATTCGTTGAGCCTCAACAATATAATAAATAATTAGATATATTATTGTTGTGTTTTTTTGTCTGAAATATATTATTGTTGTTATCAACAACAAGTTTTTTTATTGCAATCTAGTTAATATTCGTAAATTATTCTAATCTCATTTCATAATAATAAATTAATTACATTTTACAATTAAAAATAACTAAATCTTAGAAATAATTAATTTAACAACAAATTTAGATTTTCATTACAATCTATTTATTATTTGTAAATTATTCTAATCCATTTTATAATAATAAATCAATTATATTTTACAATTAAAAATAATTAGATCTTAGAAATAATTAATTTCACCATTTGTTATAATTTCAACCAATTTTTAATGAGGTTTTCTATCTTCTATTATATTTTTATAGTTTTTCCTAGTATAGTCATTAACTCGTTTACTCATATGATCATGTACTTTGTTTTTTTAAATATAAATTTTAAATTAAATATTATTAAACATTAACTTTTTAAAATAAAATATATGACTATATATGATTGAATAACTTAACATAATAAATTGTCCTTTTTTTAATCTATTTTTTCACAGAAAAAATTGACAAAAACATATTTAACATTTAAGGACAGTAAACAGTATCTTGTAAAAAGGACTAAACCAATTTAAATTTTAAGATCTTATAAAAAGAAGGGAGAGAGGATAATATGCAAACTTATATATCTCTTAATTTCTTATTTAGCTTATTATGACCATATAAACTAATGGCTACATTGAGAAACACTATAAAAGTCTTATAAAAGATGGAAAAGCCTAATTAAAAATTGAGTGAAATTATAACGACAACTTTTCAGTTGAGACTTAGTTTTTAAATAAATATATTTAATTATTTATTATATTGTTGAGATCCAACAGGTGGGTAATATATTTGGTAGCTTTTCCGCCTCTTCCATGTATGCGAGTGTCAGACCATCACATCTCATTGCTCCTCTTTCACCCAGGTAAACGGCACTGCGTTGAAGGCAGCGGACAGGCAGCGAACGGGAAGGCAGTGGAGAGAAGCCGCTCCCATTCGCACTCCCTCTATTCTCTACGTACATTCTCATTTCTAATAATAATAATTTTGTCTAATTATTACTACTATTATCACTCTCTTCAAGTTTTTTTTATAAGAGTTTGATAACTAAATTATATTATTTAAAAAAATATTTAAAATTAATTAAAAGTAATCAACATATAAGAAATAATTTTTTTTCAAAGTATACTCTTATTTATAAGAAACAAATAAGAGAGAAAAAATATAAAAAAGAACGTATCAAATTTTTAATTCATGCAATATGTAAAATTAATTATGAGCAAAAATAACAAAAATGTATTAAATAGTTAGATAATTACAAGTAAAGATTTTATAAAAAAAAAATTAAGGTGGTTCAAATTTCAGGTGAGGATCGGACGGGTACTTTTGCGCCTCAATTCCCTGGTGAACTAATTCGTGCATTGGTTTTGACGAAAGGTGCAGCAATGTTGTGAGT